AATGTCAGATGAAAGAGAGAAGCCGATAACTAGTACATTCTAGAAACGATAAAACAAGAACCTTCGATAGCGAACAAATCGATGCTTCTACGCTTTCGTCTGCGAGCAGCCGACTGCTATATAAGGGGACACTCAGCTGCCAAGTTAAGTTAGTGATAAAGTAAACTCGTTGGCGTTAACATCAGTAAAGTCGTAAAGTAAACACGTTGGAGAGTACATTTAAGTAGAGTGAGTAGTGCAAGTTGATGATAGTGATTGTAAATAGTAGAGTGTATGGTAATTGTATTATGAATTACGGAGTAAATAAAAGACATTAGATATATTCTTTGTAACGAAAGAAATTGCAAATTAAGTTGGCGAGTTCTATTGTACTCGAAGGATTTGGAAAATAATCGAGGTTGATTTAGTAAAAATCGTATTAATATATTGCGGGGAAAATGCGAGGCAAATGTCAGATGAATGAGAGAAGCCGATAACTCGTACTTTCTAGAGCGATAAAACGAGAACCTTCGATATCCAACAACTCGATTATTCTACACTTTCGTCTACGAGCAGCCGACTGCTATGTAAGGGCGACACTCAGCTGACAAGAAGTCAGTTACAAAGTGAACTCGTTAGCGACAACATCAGTGTAGAGTATTCGCTGCGTTGGAGATAACATTTAAGTAAGTAAATTGTGAAAGTTTTATACAAGTGATTGTAACTAGTAAAGTGTATTGTAATTGAATTGTGAATTATTGAGTAAATAAAGGACATTAGATAATTTCTTTATAACGAAAGAAACTGGAAATTAAGTTGGCGAATTTTTTTTTAACAATCCAGAGGGCGTACCCGAAGGATTCAGAAAATCATCGAGGTTGATGCAGCAAAATCGTAACAATTGGTGTCAGAAGTGGGATTGTTAAATAAATCCCTCTCAAGAGGGAGTTGGCAAAGCGAGGATTATCGATAACTGGAAATAAGGCAGAGCTGCAATCGAAACTGCGAGATGCAATGGCAGTTGAAGGCATCGACTTGAACCAGAAGGAGCTCTATAGGATGAATATGTATCGTTGAAGGACATTGACAAGGAAGAGGCTGATGATTCTGTGAAGGAGTTGGATTCACCATCAAATGAGATTCAAGAAAAGGCTCCTGGTTCATGTAAGGGTATGACATGAACATGTTATTGACACAAAAGGTGGATGCACAGGAAGCCAACATTATATCACAAATGGTTGCACAGAGAGAGCAGATATCATCCTTGGAAGGAACAATAGCGCAAATACAACAAAATCTGGTGAGAAACAATGCGGAACTTAAGGACAGGCAGGATCTAATTGAGACCAAAGTCAACGCATTGGAAAATCGTTTCCGGGAATAGCAGCTAAATCGTACAACCGCTTCAGTGAACGCTCCGAAGGTAAAAACACCATCTTCTGACGGGAAAATCCCATTTCAAGTTTTTAAGCTTCAATTTGAGAAGACAGCTGAAACAAACAACTGGAGCATAGAGGAAAAATCCGCTGCACTATTCGTTGCGTTGGAAGGACCTGCAGCCGAACTGTCGCAAACCATATCCGCAAATGAGAGAAATGATTGTGACGGATTGATGC